TGTCTACATACTGTTGATTTGGCTTCCTGGAGATAGGTGTGTTCACTCTCAAGCCTTTCTGGTGTAGAGCTTTTTTGGAGTCTGGCTTGGGTCCACCTAGTTTTTCTGACCTCTTAACAGAAGTGAGAGGAAGTGCCCAGGCCCCAATTCTTAAACTGCAGTTTCTTACATGCAAAATCTTGGAACTCACTAATTGTAAAAGGGCATTGTCATGCCTGTCTGGAGGGCACAATATTGAATGTTTTACTCTTGCTTCCATGATACCCACCCCCCCCCAAGGCCATATGCCCTGGATTAGGGGTACAATCTGTAGCTCAGAAAATGATGGAATCTTTTTTTCTCAGAAAACCAGTTGGCTCAATTCAGATCTAGTCTAATAATACCCTAATCAGCTCAATTCATCTGCCCCAATTCCATAGTTTATAGTCAGAACAGAAAGGATATCCTAAGTGTTGTAATTTGAGTTCTGCAACAATGCCAGCTTATCACTGTGAAGCTGATGAAATGGGAGACTACACCAAGTTTAAACGGCACAGGAAAGGACACGTGGCTGAGAGGGCGGGGCTGGACACTGTGCTGTGGTGCCCTGCACAAGTTGTGCTGTGTGCCAGGAAAAGTCACTTACTTCTGAGGAAAATCTGATGATAAAGGTAGAGATGCCCTACATCTTAACAACACAATCAGTTCTAAGAGTCCAAAGCAGAGTAATTTCTAGAAAACATTCAGAATTCCTAATTACTAGGTGATAGGCCATGAGCCTCCTCGCTCTGCCAATGAAATGAACTTGCCTCAGTGGAATGTGGTATCCCTTCCACCTTCTGTATGTTTGTTCCTCTGTGGCATAGGGAATAGGCTGTTTGCATTTCCTAACATTTAACTTGAGGTCTTGCTTTGTCCATCCAAGGCAGTGCAGCTCCCCAGCAGGAACACTTCAGAAAGTAGCGGCCACCACATTTCCTTCATGCGCTAGCTTTATCAGCAGCACTGTTGCTGCTCCAGGCCCGAGCTGAGCCCCGGGAACACACTTTAAGGCTCCTGCAAGTTGTACGTCAGCCGCTTTCTCAGGTCGGGTAGAACCGCAGAGGCTGGGCTGTCAGGCTTTTGTCACAGTTGTGTAATGACGGCTAAGTTCAGGGTAAGTGTAAACAAAGCAGGCTGTATTTGAATACAGCCTCCAGTCGGCCCAGTTAGCGACCCAGATGGAGACGGGAGGAAACTTTGGGACAGAGTGGTGAACTTATTACATCAGGCTGGAAAACACACAGCACTGTCAGTCTAAGGAAAAAGGAAAATCTTATGCTATTTATTAAAAATGCTATAAAAGTTACATATACAGAAAAGTTTTCAGAATGGAAAAAAAAAAACATGTACAGAAAAAGCACAGTCGACTCTGAGGAAAACAGCATTATCTGATGTTCCACAGTAAGAATAAACAAAGTGAAGTAATGGAATAATTCAAGTGTCCGCTATGGGCTAGAATCATTTAGTTTCTATACTATTTCTGCAGAGGCAAATTTATTGTTTTTTCCTAAAAGCAATGAATTCTCATTTCATCTTCAGTATTGTGTGAGGTGATGTTTTATATGAATTTCTGCATATGAGCAAGTTTCAACTTCATCCTGTCTTTCTCAGTTTTCAGTGTGTGAATTAACATTAACATCTTCGATTAGTTTCCCTCCTGCCATGTAATATGCCCATGTGGCATATATGCATCCTAATTTCCTAGTGGTTTTGCAGGATAAGGAAATTAACTGCATCAGACAGTTTAGATTCCTTACTTATTAAAAAAAAAAGTTTACATTTGTTATGTCACATATTTGTTACGAGGGGAAACACTACTTCGGACACTCTCAGCAGTGCTACGCTAGTAGAAGGTAGCCGTTGTGTTCTTTACCACCTTTCATGGCTCCAGGAAATCTAGACTATTCTAGCCCACTACTGGGAGACGCATGATGATGACTTTGGGCAGTACAGACTCCTCAGTAAGAGCCATACCACGACAGTGAATAGCTGAAACAGAAGCTAACTTTTAGCACCGCTACTGCTTGTGACTTCCGAAGCACTTGTATTCAGAGTCAGGTTCCTCGACCCTGGTATTTGCTTGCACATGCCGGTGTACGGCCCAGAATGGGGTTAAGCAGAAGGATGGGGTTCTCACATTGCCTCGATCCAGCTGGCTTAACTTTGGAGATATTTTCCATATCCAGCAACACCTAGATACAGTATGAACTCTAAAGCTTGAGCTCTAAGAGTAATGCCAGCTACACCTTTCACTCCAAACTTTCAGCTGTTTGCTTGGATTTTACTATGCAACTGTGCTAATCACAGCTGGACAGTGAAATACAGTGCTGGTACCTCCGTGGCAGTGATTGATAATAAAAGGAAAATATATGGAACTTCTATATTTACAAATGCTACATTTCTATATACATAAATACAGCTTCATGTTGCTACCAACATACAGCATTTCAAAGAGGTACAGGCACCCTTTTCAGGGCACAGTGATGAAGTTAGAAAGGGCCTCTGCGTAGTTACCAAAAAAAATTTTTTTTAAGTAGATTCGTTAGAATAAAGGTGATATTTAAATGTCCAAGCGTGGATGAGTTCACCTATGAAGGGAATATTAGTGGAAGAGAGATGGGGATGGAAGGAAATAATCAAGGCCAAGGATGGCGAAACAGTGAGTTATGAGAGTTATGACACACAGCCCTTGAATGTTCATATTCAAAGGCAGCAGCTACGAAGCAGATCCGCACCTACCTACCCGTATTATGGACACCTCACACTCAGTCAGCCCTGACTTCCCGGGGGCCTGCGGGTGGGGCTTTCTGATAAGCACCTGAGCCATACTCTTGTAAAGCAGGAAGGAAAAGAAACCAACCCTGCAGGGTGTGCCAGTACTCCAGAAGCTAATAGGACTCCACTCCTTGTCATGAAATCTTCACACCCCTCCTAAAACTAGTTCTCATCTTCAGGTTATTGCTAAGTGAGTTACAGCACACAAATGCTAACATATATACAAGGTTTAATAAGTAAACCTCTTTGGCTGAAAAGTGGGGGAATAGCAAGCACCTGAATAGTCCTTCTAAGTACCTGCTTTGGCTTCACTCCTTGGAAAATACAGGAAGTACCCGTATGTCTTTGCCCTTGGAAGATAACAGGAAGTACCTGTATGTCTTTGCCCTT